TGGGAAACTAGAAGGTCCTTGGAGGAGTTAGTTCTCCTCCTACCAGCCAGTATTTCAAGCCTGATCACCAGCCAGGACAGAAGGTCTTGAGAACAATGCACAGCGGGGATGCTGCCCTTTAGGTCTGGAAAATCTGCTCTACAGTGGGTACATCCCCTGCGTGATTTTCCAACAGCAGCTCTTTGACGGAAAGGTAGCTCCCTTGAAGGAGATGAGGTCATCAAATCAGAAACCAACTGCGACACCTGACCTACAAGTGAACTTAGATTAGGGAGTAAAAGTACAGATAAGATCACCCCACTGAGAACCAACCAGGAAATCTCCATCGGAAAAGTGAAGATACCATGTTCTGCTAGGGCCAGGACACTAATTAGCCTGCATATTTAGTTTAAGAGAGTCGTTCTAAAAAACATAATAACTATAAGAGTGTAGATGTCCAAGACAGACTCCTGGGAAAGTCTGTGCATACAGGTGTGTGTTGTAGGCGTGTGTTGCAAGATTTCCATGTGATTGTGTTTTTATTTAGATATAGAATCTGTTCTTTTTTTAAAGGACTCCTATTGTGCATTCTTTTGTAATGAGCAAGGTCTTTGACAAGGAGAAAATTAGCAATCAACTGACTCTTAATGTGTACTACTTACTAAGGAGTTAACAGTAGTAAAAAGTCTTCTCTATAGGTAAATGTAGTTAATAAATATTTATGTGGGTTCCTACTGTATGCAAGATTTTGTATTTGGTTTGCACCGCATAAATGAACCAATAAAACATCTTCTTTCATGGAGCTCACTATTCAATACAGACATAGTCTCTATGTAAGTTATTATTAAAATATAACATAATACTACATATATACAACCAATGTTATTAAAACAAAAATTAAGAGAAAGCTGTTAACTGTATGAAACTGAAAACATGTTTCATGTAGCAGGTAAAATATGAATGGACCTGAAAAAGTGAGCAGTTACTTTTTAAGCAAGTGGAAGAGGCAAGAAAGAGTTTTCAAGGCAAAGAAACACAAAAACAGTAACTTTAAAAAAAATACGTATCGACAAAACCCAGGGCTCTGAAAACTCATTGTGTTTTATATATCGCAAGAGTATTGCAGAGAGGCTGGATTATAAAACTGCATCATGGGAAGTGTGGACTCGGGTGTGTCTGCCATGATGAGGAGTTACTTCCCTCTATTACATAGATAATGGGAGCTCATTAACTGATCTTGAGCATGGGAATGGCATCATTAGATTTGTATTTAAAAATAATTAAATGGCAGTATGGTGAATGAATTGCGGAGTGCAGAATATGTGAACAGAGTAAATGAAGTACTTATTGAGCTAATTGGATAATGTACAAGAGAACACTGAGCAAATTTATAAATAACTAAGCTACTGAGTATAAATTGCTGATCACTGTTGTGAAGAAAAAAATGAAACGATGCTTACCTGAGCCATGAAGGTATCAAGGACATTAGAAAATAGTAAATACTTGAGAGCTTTTTTAGAGATAACAGTCACAGTAAGCACCTCTTGCAAGGACATTTTGTCCAGAATATTAGTTTGTGAAATGCTTTGGGTATATGACTTCATTTAATTCTGACAATTCTTTCAGGAAAGGCAACCTTACAAGTCTTCCAAAAACTCAGGAAACTGAGACATGAAGGTACTTGCTGTGATCTTAAACTGACAAGTGAAGAGAGGAGGGGAGACCTGTAGGTCTGCCTCAAGATAATTCTCTTTGGTATTATTATGCAAGGAACTAACACATCTTATGGAGTAGCTAGGACATGAGAGTGAAAATCCTCTATAGTCATCATTAGGAACGTGTTTTTGCAAACTTCAGTTTTTCAGAAGGTTAAATGATGTTATGCAAGATGGGGGAGTTAGCGTCAATCAAACACAGGATTAAACAAAATAATCAACAATCATGCACTCCACTAAAAGAGACCTATGAGCTCTCAAAGGTTCCTATTGCAAATATCCAACAAAATATGATACAGTAGGTAAAATTTCCTGGATCATAAATCCCTTTTGTAACTTATGATTCTGTGGGACTCAGTGTCCCTGGGACATAATTTGGAGGCTGGTGGTGGACACATCCTACTTTGGACACTACATTCTGGAGCAACGGTGGATAAAACAGGCAATTTGACTTAGACATCTAGAATGGCAGGTGCCTGGGTGGAAGATGCAAAACAGAGTGGTGTGGATTGAGTCTTAAGAGATAGGTCATAATTGGAGGTACAGGTGTGCTAGAGCCCCAGGCATCATATGCGGGACAATGAGGACAAGCTTGGTGGCAAGGCTGAGCTTAATGAAAGAGAGAAGGCTGGAGAGGGAAGCCAAGGGTACATTTATAAGTACCTCCACACATCAGCAGTTTGTACAAAGCTCAGCTGATGTTTAGTTGACATTTAAAGCTAATAATCTTTTGTTAAATTCTTTCTAAATACTACGTTTTGCTAAATTTTAGAACATTTCTGTGCAAACTTAAATCAGGCTTTTCCAGTGACCACATTTTCCCCACATAGCTAACTAAGTAGAGGTATTAATTTCTTTGTTTATGAAAATATTCGCCTGGTTAATTTGAGGAGATGGCCTTAAGTGTGCACAGAACACAACAACACCCCATGACTGTGTTACATAAATTTAAGAAAATACTCTTAGTCTCTGAATGTGAATGCAGCCTTGAATTTTAAACACAAGGTCTCCTATTAGTTTAATCCATGGCAACAGAAACTTTTCTCAAACCAAATAGTTCCAGAAAGATCTATTTTAGCAGCAACATCTGTGAACCATTCTAAAGAGTTGCAATAAAAAATAAAATCATATAATATCTGAACAGAAATAAGAAGAGCCAAATTGGATTCCTCTCTGGAAAATGAGCTCCAAATTGTGTTCTAAACCTACAGACTATTAGGGGGGAAAGGTAAAATAATATCACATTTAAAAATATTTAAAAACAAAGAGCGCCAGGCAAGCATGCCACCGAGTCCTAGATTTTGCTGAGGACATTGCCAATGTCAAGACCAGTGTTGACCTAAACTGAGCTAGAACTAGAGAGGAAGGGGAGAAAGTTTAACCCATCTTTCCACTCTGCTGACCTTCCTCCACTTCGCTTTATAGACTTCTTCTAGGTGAGTACACCCAAGCACAACTTTGGGCCTTGTAAATTCTTATTTATAAAATCTTGTTGTTGTCTGCCCAGTGGATCTCAAAGTCCAATGTAGAGAAACATAGGGGCTTGAAGGTTTGGGGGCTTTATGGATTGCCTAGTCTGATCTCTTTTGCCATCCCCACTTCAACCCTCAACCTCTTCCCCACCCCTTTCTCCTTTATTAAAAACTAACAATGTGTTTTATAAGCTTAGCATATCCAAAATGCTATCGTTTTAGACTGTTACCAATATAAAACATCATTAATGAAATATTTTATATACTAACTAGTAAGCTTTCAAAACCTAATGCATATTTTGCATGCACAGGACATTTTGGTGAATACTAGCATGTTTTGAGGGCTCAGGAAGCATCTGAGACTGGTGGCTTTTGTGTCAAATGCTTCTGCATTTATTAATATATGATGAGAATCTACAGCTTTTGAGAAATAGTTTAAATTAGTTTTCCAAGTTTTTTCAATCATAGTAGAATATTCCTAACATAAAATGTACCACTTCCTCCATTTTTAAGTGTGCCATTCAGTGGCATTGGACCACTCACAATTGTTGCAACCATTACTGTTATCTGTTTCCAGAACTTAGGCCAGCCCTTGGTAGCCCCTAGTTCACTTTCTGTCTCTGCAGATTGGCCTATTGCGAGCACCCCTTGAAAGTGAAGCCATGAAATGTGTGTTGTTTTATATCTGGCTTATTTCATGGATCACAGGTCTTCAAAGTTCATCCATGTTTCTCTGCTTCTTGCTCAAGTGATTCCGGTTCACTCTGTGCTCACTCACCATGCACAAAGCACATTTGTGAACCATTGCTCACACTGTCTCTCTTTCTTACATTTCTTTTTACACATGACTGGCTCCAGACAGCTATATCTCTCCTTTTCTCCAACACTGTTACATGCAGAGTTCCTAATACACTAAATTTGTTCCAAGTTATATTAGAGTTGTGCAGGATAGTTCTGTGGGGTGGCAGAAAGATTCACACAGCCTTGAGTGCACTAGACCTCAGTTTCAAATGCTGTCTCTGTGTCTTATTAGCTAAGTCTTCTGTATAAATTCTTTAAACCTGGCTGATGTTCAATTTCCTTATCTTTATAATGAAGACAGGCCATCGTGTGTAGCATTCCTCAGCACTCTGCTTGGCACAGAAGTCTCAGCAGACACCAATCCCATTTTTAGTGGAGCTTAATCCCAAGCCTGCTTTCCAAATAAGTATATATCATTGCCAAAGACTAGGGAAAAATGACTTACGTTATCCAACTGTTAAGCCAATGAGATAAATAATATGTATATAACCGTATATTTCATAACATGAAGAACCTTAGTAAATGGCTGATCTGTTGTTATTGTTTACAAGTCTAAATTTCAATAAGAAATAAGTTATGTATGATTCATCTTTGGATTTCAGCCAGTGTTTAGCAGTGTTTAGTTGATGTTCAGCAATTACTCATGGTATGTGAATCTCCAAAGGGATGGATGAGACTTGGGAGGTATGAAATCATGATTCTGGCTATCCAAAGACAGGTGCAATGGTGGCAATTTGTTTCTTCCTTTCTTTTTTAATTTTGGTTTTGAGACAGAGTTTCTTTGTGTAGTCCTGGCTGTCTTGGAACTCACTCGAAGAGTATGCTGGCCTCAAAATCAGAGACCCACCTGAGAAGTGCTGGGATCAAAGGCGTGCACCACCACATTCAACTGGTAGCATTTATTTCTAAAAGAGTTAAAATGACCGCATACCTGTAAGCTTAGCAACCAACTTTCCACGAGAAGAGGCAGGTTGAGCAGAACCCAGGCAAGAAAAATGCCTGAAGTTACCTTTTGGGAAAATGAAGTGCATACTTGACTTCTTGGCCTTTTGGCTGCAATCAAGTGTATTATTTGTTCTTATCAATTTAGTATGTGATATGTTCTCTGTCCAAGGACAAAAAAAAAAATCAAATGGATTTTGGAGCAGAAAGAAGGAATGGAGTATGTCCATTCCACTCATCACATCAGTCTGGCACTGTGATTTCTCCTGAAATGGTACACGCCTTCAGTGGTCTTAAAAAACAATCAGTAAATAAAGGATACATACTATAACCCTTTAAAATCAATTTAACCATGGTTAAGTACAAAGTGTGGTTGTGTGAGGTACATACACATTGTTGTGAACATCATCCTGTAGTTCTCAGACTTTATCCCAACTAAACATTAACTCTCTTCACTCTCTACCCATCTTTGGCCACTGCCATTTTACATTCTCTTTCTAAGGAGAAAACTGTTCAAAAGAAGATGGACTTTCCTTGCTGAACATTTCGCCCTTCATTACCACAGAAGGTTAAAACAGACAGAAAGCAGCGATATCATGGCACTCGCAGCCTGTCACATGCCGAGTAAATGAGACTGAAACTTGGAACAGGCGGGTCCTCAGCTGGGAAGCCAGGAATGAATGTCAAGTCCTGTCTAAGAAGCAAGGGGAGGAGCAGTTCCGGAAGTCCTGGTCAGCCTCTGGGTATTCAAAGAGACAAAGGCCAAGAGCTGAATTAGGGGCGATGTCAGGTCCACAGTCCAAGGTCAAATAGGAGGCACTAACCAGAAGACAGAAAAAATGGAGAAACAGGATGGAGAAGGAAAGGGCAATACACACAATTCTCATGTATACATCTGACTGTCATGGGCATGTTATAATGGCCTATCAGGGCTTCCTGTGTCATGCTAGGAGAGGCAGACATCACCCTGCTCCAGGTAGACCCAAGGAGGAAGCAGATGAAGGAGGAAAACTTTATACCTCCCCTCGACCAGCTGGCACTCCTAAGAACTGAGGCTCATAAATCTTTTCGCCTGATTTCATCAGTGTAAAGATATGTCTTGGGAGGAAAGAAGGAGAGATATTGAAAAACATGAAACACAACAGGATTTGTCAAGATTCCATCTGCTTTCAGATGAGCCTGCTGGGGAAAGAAGGTGCTTGAGGAAAACAAAGGGGAAAACTCAAAACCCCAAAACTTTTAAACTCTAAAATCTTTAATCCCAATGTGTAATCCACTCCACCCATTCTTTTTATAAATGACCTTTGGCTGGTCCAATTCACTGGCCTTTGGCTCCCCTTAGGATCAATTTTCTTACAATTTTCAGGTCTTTGTATATCAAGCAGATTCATTAAATAAAACCAGATACTTTTCTTAGCCTTCTATGGTGACTCTCAAACTTGTTCCATAATCTTGTTTTGACTCCCAAACTTATTCCATAATCTTGTTCAAAGTTAAGTCTCTCTGGTTCACATATCTGCAAACTAAGGTTAACTCAATGAAAAAAGCAAAATGAACTTTAATAAATCATTTAGCTACTACAAAAAAATCAATTCCTTGACTGCAAAAGACTAGACAATACATTGCCTGCCTTCCCAGCACAGGTGTGTTACCTGGAACACCTGTAGGCACACAGGTAATTGACAATAAAGCCTCAAGCAGATGCAGGCTGAGCAGACCATTGGATAAAGGCCCTATTATTTCTACGCTGAGACCAAGGATGCAGTGATGTATGGATATTCATGGGCCATTTGTTCTTGGACCTCACAATCTAATGTGGAATAGAGGAACTGATATTCTAAAGTAGAACAAAGAATGACACATGATGGTGATAACTCATGCATGAGATGTTATAGGATGATGATAAATATCAATGTGATAATGATAGAGAAGAAATTTGCAGAGTGGGAAACCTAACTTTGGTTTTGTTCTTTTTAAGTGGGCAAAAAGGCAAGCATGATTCATCATCTTGTAACCCCAGTTTCTGCTGCTGCCCACTGACAGCACCATGGTGCTCATGCTCTGGAGCCTCTGGACCAATCTGGGGCACCGAGTTGGTTGTCTTCCTACTTTTCTGCATTGATCCATCTCCATCCTTGCCTGATGTCCTTATTGTTTGTCCTCTGGTGCCTGAGTTTTCTATTTTTTCTCCAACTCATTTTGACAATTTTATTTATTTTAACTATGATTTGCTGGCATAAAATCAAATTTTGGCATAACTGCATCCCTTCTAAGGTTGAGGAGAGAATCCATTTTCTTGCCTTTCCCAGCTTCTGGAGAGTGATGCATCCCTTGGCTTATGACCTTCTTCCCCAGTCTCTAAACCCAGGGATGTAGCACCTCCTTACCCCTACCCAACAGCTGCTTTTCTTCTTCTGACAGCAGTTGAAACAACTTTTCCATTTTTAAGGATTCAAGTAACCCTGGAAATCCAACTGCATAATTTAGGATAATCTCCCCATTCTCAAAATCATGTTTGCAAAAATTGCTTTTGCCATGTGAAGTGACTTTTTCATGGGTTCTTAGGATTGGGGCGTGGACATCTTTGAAGGATTTTATTATGCCTACCACAATGAGGTACTAGAACTTCAGGTTCTATATGGAAGAGATGAAGCCTGTTCTCTCTAAAGAAATGTTTCTTCTTAGATGATGGCTAAAAGAATTATGGAGAATAGAGTGTGTTAATTCACAGGAAAGTTTCATTGGCTGATACAGTTCATAGTTTTTTGTGGCATTGGATCCTAACTCTGAAAGAGGAAACTTTGGACTTTGGAGATGGCTCACTGTGTAAGGAGGGGAAACCTTTGTTCAAATTCCAGCACTGATGTGAACAACCAGGTATGGCTTTACACGTCTGTAACCCCAGCACTGGGGACAGAGACAGACTGGTCCAGAGCATTGGTCAGCCAATCTAGGTGAAATGGTGACTTCAGGTTCAGTAACAGACCCTGTCTCAAGGAAACAAGGTGGCATGTGATAGAGGAAGACTCCTTCTGGGTCCCTCTAGCCTCCACATCCACATGCACACATGCCTGTACCTGCACATTTGCCAACACACGCGCGCACACACACGCGCACGCGCACACACACACACACACACACACACACACACACACACATATACGCACGCACACGCACCCTTGAAGAAACCTTTAAAAAGTTGGATTTCTGGCTGTGTTGGGGTAGATACATACATTTTGATTTCAACTAAGCTTTTCTCCTTTAAGAAATCCTATAGTGGGGATGAAACGGGAGAAAAATAAAACGAAAATACTTTCCTGCACTACAAGGGAGGGACAATGGCCACAGCCCCTTGCTTTCCTCCCAGTCTGGTCCCTTTGTGGAGTACTGAGGTCTGAGCAACCTAAGCAAAGGCCTGGATTAACACATAGATGGCTGGGGAGAGGGTGACAATGGGTTGCCCATGTGTGGCAGAATGGAAAGCCTGCTGCTTGTCCCTTCCCTTTACAGACTGATTTTTCATCATTCATTCCATAAAGACAGGAGTGGTTGACTGTGTCTGGGAAGGAATTTCAAGTAACTTCCTATTCAATTTCATACATTCCAGACTCTCTTGAGAAGCCCGTGCCTGCCCTAGGACACTACTGTTCTCTTGTATGCCCCACCTGATCTCCCTTAACTTTCATGGTTCAGTGTTTGCTTACCCCTTTTTATAATGAGGACAAATTTTTTTTCATCAAACAAAATAAAACGTTTTCTTTAATTTTTATTTTCTTTCCACCTTAAGAACATTCTGAAGCCCATTTCAGCACTGGGTGGCTTATGGCATGTGCCCACAGTGGTTACTTTTCTTAATACCGTTACCTGACAAGAGATGTTGTAAGGGACAAAGGGTTGAGTCTTGGCTTAGTTTGAAAGCATATAGTCTGCCATGGCAGGGAAGTCCAGCAGCAGGATCTCGAGACTGCTGGACACATTGCATCCGTATACAGGAAGCAACGAAGGGCTATGAAGTAGGGATGAGCTATAAAACAGACTTGTCCAATCCTCTCCCCTGGCCCCCTGGCCCCAGTAACCCACTTCTAGCAAATTCTATAATGTTTTGAAACAGTAGCACTAACTGGGAACTGTGCATTTAAAGGCATAGGCCTATGGCTGACATTTCATGTTCAACCCACAGCAGTGCTTGGTGAATACTGTTCGAATAAACGAATGATGCCTTAGCTGGGTGACTGAGCTGTGATTACTGGTGGCAGAGTGGACAATACTCACAAGGCTAAGTCAGGCGTCCCCAATTTTCTAGGTCTTCGTGTGTTTTATTTCCTTAATCTTCTCAAAAATCCTTAAAATTGGTATTCTTACCTCTATTTCAGGACTAAAGACTTCAAGAAACTTGCTCACAATGATGCAGCTAGTAAGAAAAAAATCAGTGTTCACAGCAAGGTCTACCTGACACCAAAGGCCATGGTTCTTTGTGTCTCTTATCTGCTCTCTTACTCCTGACCCTTCTGTTTCAGTGAGAAAGCTAGGCTTAGATCCAGGTGACTAACCTCCGAGCTCAAAACTAGAATGGCTAGGTGAGGAGAAGTGTGCTAAGGGTCTGGAATGGTCTTAGGTATAATTATGGGCAAGGTTGGTTTGGTAATCCACCATTTCATACTGTCTGTGTTTAATTCTCTTAATTGCACTATAATGATCATGCGTATTATTCAGAGGGTCAGATGAATACTTTTGGCTGCTATAAATGCCCTCTTCATGGGTTCCTCACCTGTTCACTTTCCTCTTTGTATGATTGTATGCACAAACATTTTAGTAAAGTCTTTAGAAAGAAATCAAACAAATTGCCAAGCTTTGTAACTGGATCCTGCCTGGGGTGAGATTTTAGAGATCTGACATCATTACCACAAATCCTACTGTGTATAATTCTGAATTTTTGAAAGTCCTAAACTATAATATAAAACATTTTTTCCTGATTCCTAAGATATGTCTTTATTGAAGAAAATCAAGTTAAGACAGTATTTGTTGTGTTTCTGGTTGGTTATTGACTCCAGCAGTTAACAGTGGTCCAGTTAGTGCCCATGGGCTTTACTGTTAAGTTGCTGTGTCTTTAGGGAAGCCATATCTAGTAGTGTATGTCTACTAGTATCTAGTACGGAACTCAGAGCCAGCTAGTTGGTTAAGTGAATTTATACAAACATAGAAAGCTCTGGATGCCACTCCAGTAATTTTTTTTTTCAGCTTATATCAGTTGTTCATGTCAGAAGACAGGTTCGTGCTGTGTGGTA